AAAATTGTCAGTTCTCGTCTCCAACAACATAGTTTAAAGGCTTCGATATTGTCCTTCTCGGCCTTAAATTTATTAGTACACTCTTGTAAGCACTCTCACAATCTCCAAGCTTACTGTTTTTGTGGTGGAAAAGTTTCTATTTTTACAGAACGCTTGTTTTGCTTGCTTCGTTAAACTTTTATAGCGCGTTTTTAGATTCCACAAACGGGATAATAAAAATAATGGGATGTTTGAAGTAAGACAGTGGGTTTTTGAAGTGAAACTTCTTTTTAATTTATAAATTTATATTTATTTTTTTTAATTTTTAGTAATAGGTAACTATTTCCAGTTTTCTAATAACTGTCTTAAGATTATTGCTTTAGTCCTACTCAAGGTTTAAGAAAACTGCCTTCCGTCCATCGCACACATTTTTTCGAATGTTTACATTTATTTGTTTATTTTTAGTATTCAGGAAACATATTTCCATACATATTTAAATGTAATAAAAACTATTTAAGTTAGTTTTATTCACTATTTCATTTAATTAAACGATATATGACTGTTAGTTTATTTTTATTAGTATAATCTCGACAAGTGTAATAAAAGTTTTATAACGTTATTTTGTTACCTCACATAAATATTTTCCTTAGTTGAAGTTAAAAATATTAGTTTAGTAAAATTAAAACAAAACCACTACATTTAGGCGGGTTCGTTTGTGCGAATATAAATAATTTTAATCGACATTTGTTGAAGTTGTGATAAACAATGTGAATTTTGGCTTTGACATTTTTTCAATCAGAAATCAATGAGAAACCTACATTAAATAAACCGACAACTATATTGTAAAATGGGTTTAACGTTTTGAAATAATGTTTTGTATTTTAGTCAACAGTTTATTTCCTACTTTCTTAGATTTATCGTGCATAATATTATTAGTGTCGTTAGAGTTGTTTTCCCCAAAGGCAAGCATATTTAGTATGTATAGTGAAACGGAATATGTACAGGAGGATTCGGTAGGGATAATTTATTTTAAATTATCATTTTAGATGCACCGTTCGGTATGTTGAATATTCCCAACATAAATTAACGCCAAACATTACAATTTGTTGTTTCCCGTCATGTTGATGTTATTGTAAGTTTTCCGTCTAGTCTTAAACCTATCGTTCAGGAAAACCGCCAAGATACATTGCTCCTTGTTTTCAATAAATTATATTATTGCATAGCATAACAGCTAATGAAATACATCAGCTATGTACACTTGATACGTTTTTTTAGTTGATCATTAAAACTATTTAATCACAATATTGATATCTGTATTATTAAAAATGTATATTATCATATATTTTAGAAGATATTTATTTAGTTCTACAATTGAATGCCAATTTGTCCATTTAATTTACTTTACTTTATTAATAAACTCCAATATTAGGAAAGACTAAGAATTTTAAGACGGTAAAATTATTAAGGGCAAGTGGCTATTATAATTTATACTAAAGTTGTGTTAAATTATTTTAGTCACAAATTATAGTAAACTACACAAGATGACAAGTATTAAATTTAATTAATAAACCATTAATTAAGTATAACAAACATTTTAATTTTAATTTACTTATGTATTCCCTTATATTTTCAAAATAATTTGTTCGTTCTCAAGTGTTGCACTAAGTTTCCCATCTGAAGACGTTGGCTCAACATTCACGCCATGTGGTACCGACCATAGTCTGTTACATTTTGCACTAAAAATGCAATGTTTCATCCCTGGGAAAAAGTTTAAGTCCTTCAGCGTAATAAAATCTCCTTAGGTGAGTTTTGTCGTTTTAATAAGTATTTTCATAGTTAATTTTCTCGGGAATTAATTCAACGGCCAACAGTTTAACAAGTATAATAAATTTAATATTCTCTTAGACCATACATAGCAACGTTAAGTCGCTTAGGTGTATACTTTATGGTCCTATAGAACTTTCACCAAGTCGCGGGCCCTAGTTATTTAGGTAAAAGACCAAACTAACAATCGGTATCATGTGCAGTAAATTATAGTTAATTTATTGAGGCTGTTGAGTTATTCCACATTGAAAATTTACTAAATTTTAATGTGTCTGCGGTGCGATTCATTGTATACCAGTTTAAAATATTCAAATAAGATTGTGGCCTTTTTTTGAAAAATAACTTTGGTCACATTATATCTGCAAACTCGAGCGTTGGAATTTAATAATAATTCACTTAACTCAAATGTGCGGTTATTTGTGTTTCGCTTTATGTAAGACTCGATGCAGACAATTTGTGTAGTTAATTAATTTATGAGATTGTTGGCTTTGACATATTATGTATATTATGTTAAACGGATCAACCGAATAATCTCAGATCAAATATGTACATCTCCTGCAATGTAAATAAGTTTTCAATTGTATGTAAAGTTACTTTATATTATCAAATTTATCGTTATTAAATAATCAGTTTACACATTTCATTAATAATAAAAAATATCACTCGTATGTTAAATAAATACACTTGTGTATAATTTTTAGAGTGATGAATTTGTTCATCCACCGTGGGATGTGTGAAATTCCTAATTAAAGTCCAACGTGCTCACACACAGCATCTATCATTGTTAGTATACTTAGGGATATTGATTAACCACCATCTTTATTAGCATACGATGGTATATGATACCGTTGGGAATGGCTGCTTTAACGAATAAACGGAAATAACCGAAACACAACCAACGCATTACATTATCTATAGTTTGTTTTCTTCGAGGAGGAGTTGGACTGGTGATACTTTAAAAATACCGCGAGGGCTTCGGTGGAAAGTTTTCCTGTTAAAACCATTATTGTTTTGGTCGGATTATTAACCTTCCAGGAAATCACCCCACTGACATTTAAAACGACCAACATAGCTGTCGTTGCTTTACAATAGGTTTTTGTTTTTTGCTGTTTTTAGTGTCGAGGGTAGTACAATTATATTACAAGTATAATAAATATTATTTTTGTTATTCGTTAATTGATCAATGTATTTTTTTCTTCTTCTCTCCTTTTGTTTCTCTTTAATGGTACTTTTTTTCATTTCTTAATTGGTAGACACATTTTCGTGGGCTAGGAAGTCAATTTGAAAATTAAAATATCTAACTACTAAAAAAAAAACAAGCCACTTAATTATAAAATTAGTTTGTCAAATTTCTGGGAAGGTTAAAAGTACTCAACAACATTTTCCTTTGAAATAAATGCCATGTCTAGATATGATAATACTTTTTTAATTTGATTTTGATGGCGAAGAGTTTGAAATAACATCAATAATCAATAGGTACAATTAATTAATTGTTTACGTATAGTTTCCTTGAACTCAGCTAGGATTAAAATATATTTTTGTTTGTAACAAGAGAAATGTACAATTTGGCATGTGTCCACCTATACGTTCATTCAGGAATAAAGATTTAGTGCATTGTTTATTTAAGAATAATAAGAAGAAGAATAAGTTTAGTTAAAAAAGTAATAAAGTAAAATGTTGTATGAAAAAATAGATTTCCTGGAGTACAATGAAATAAAATTGCCTTAGGATAATAAAAAAAGTTGTTAACAAAATATGAAAAAAAGTGACGAAGCAACAAAACCATTAAAGTTTATACTGTCTTAAGAAATATCAACTCTTTTTTTTCCCTATTTAATCACCTGTATCTATCATAGTTTATTTTTTAATATAATAAAATGTTTAAGCAATAAATACCGTTATCTTATTTATTTAGTTTTGCTTAAATATAATTGAGTTCGAATTTTATACCAGTGAATCAGTTTTCATACTAAAGTGAAATTATTTTAGTGAATTGATGTTACTTTAGCATAAAAAATAAGGTTTTTTTTAAATTTTAAATATTATACATCTATTCTTTTAAAAGTTAATGAGGAAAACAATACATTATTTATTAAAACATAGTTTAACTTCAAAAGGAAGAACAGGCAATAAAAGTTAAACTTTCGAAATGTTACCTCAAGTTTGTCCTCCAAACCTTGTTTTAAATGTATAACTTATTGTGGTTATGTTTTATGGAATTCCTATGATATTTTTGTCTTAGCTTGTCGTAAAAAAAACAGGTCATTTAAATTATTTTTCATTATTTTTATACATTATACAATTTCTTTCTGTACAAAATTAGACGTCCAGTATAGATTTATCTGTTACTATTTTGTACTCTTGTTCTGTAACAGAAAAAATTACACCTTCAAACCGTCTCACTCTCGACAAAGCGACGTATTCAACGAGCAAGTACTAGTGTTGACAAAAAAAAACGCATGTTCATTCTAAATGTTTGTCCTTGTTGATGGTAATGGCAAATGCTATTTTGATCCTTATTAATTTACATGGTTTCAGGTGATATTTCTTCATAGGCTTCTATTTATTACCATTACCTAAATTTAGTAGCAAATTATAAAATTCAGCGTTACCTTGAGACATGAGCTCTTGTGTTTTGTGTTAATTTACATTTAGTAATAGACTGCGATAGTGGAGAATTTCCAGTGGACTATTTTGCTCCACGTTCCGCCTCTTCCTGGTCGTAAAATTGGATATGACCTAGGCAATCGCTAGACCGCGCCCGATTTGGCTGAGTATTAATTTAAATATTAGCTAAGACAAAAGTTAAAGTACCTATAAGCAATTTATACTGAATCTATACTTAAAATCTACAAAATTGTATATATTATAAATACTTTAAAATACTCTATATAGTTTATGAATACTTTAAGTCTAATTGTATAGTTCTTGAACTTAAACTTATGGTAATAATAAGTTTGATGATCATAATAATAATTATTATTGTTATAATTGTAACCCAAATTGCATTTCAACAAAGTAAACTATATTTTTATATTCAGTGTTTTTATTGTAATCTATTTGCGTACATTTATACAGTTAAATAATTTGGAAATGATCAGAAAAACATAGCTTAAAGTATTTTTTATTATATTACATTATTAAATATAATTTTTCATTGTTATTACAATTCCAACATAAAATATAATGGACATTAATGTGTTATGATAAATTAGCATCTGTAAATTAAAAATATTAAGATAAACTGACTTTAACTGTACCTTTAAAATAATAGTAAACTTTGTTTTTTTTAGTGCCAGAAACTTTATTGTTGGATTCGTCCCCGTCAAAATCGTCATCTTTAAAGTCATTTTCAAAAGATGTGCTGAACGATAATTTCCGGATTGTTGCATTCTCAAAACGGCTGAAAATAATGAGTAAATGAAATATAGTATTCAAAATAATAGTTATTAGTTAACATACCTATAAAAAATTATATAAATCGGTGTATTTTAAATAAAATGTTAAAACATACCTAGTAATACCGGGTAAGTATGTAATTTTTTAAAATGTATTTAATTTGATTATAAAGCTAAAATAGAACGCGCGGTTTTCTCAATGTGATCTAAATTGATTTATCTATCTATCTAATATCTGATTTACTAATATTATGGAGAAATGTTAGGTCTGGGGGTTTCGCACCTTTATCTCTACAAGTGTACAATGTTGTGGCTTTCTCAATAAATTTAACAGATTAATCGTAGAATTTTTAAAACATTGTAATTCAAAAAATACACGGTTAAATGATTTACCTTTTTTCTTCTGGTTCTCTATCGTACGGTATGTCCAAAGAAATTGCAGTGATGTTTTTGTCTTTAAAATTAGCTCGGTGTATATAAAACGGGTCGGTATGAGGAACTATTACATCTAGCCGATTGTTATTACAATGATGATTATTGTCATCTTGTTTTGTGTCATCACCTCCAGCTTCGTCGAAAAATTGCTCCAAAAATTCCCACAAAGCTACGTCCGACGTTTCCTCAGACGATCCCTGCGAAATTTCCTCCGACGAATCGTCGAACTGTGAGAAGAAATCTCTTAGCAATTGCCAAATGATATCTTTGTTTTCATCTAATTCCTCGATGAGCTGGGCGAATTCTTCGCCGAGTTCACTGCTTATGGATTCGTATTTTTTTACAAAACTCCCATCGTGAGCCACGCAATTTGTCTGTAATTTTTCACCAGTATTCCGCACTGTACTGATGAGAATCCATATAATCTCATATAAATCCACGACAGCAGGTTCGACCGTCCCAACACGATTACAAATCGAATTAAATGCCTCAGCATCGATACGGTACTCGACGTCTAGAGTGGCTCTTTTTCGCATAATGTTTTTCCACGTGGAATCCATTTCCAATTTGTTTCCCTCTAATTCGCCTATCCCCTGGAATTGAAGTTGACCTTTACACGTGAATATATTGAAATTCATACGATACTCATCGTAGATCGATGTGGTGGTTATGTTGAATTTCTTGGTGGTGTCTTTAGGTTTTTCACCGTCTAACGTGGCTTGTACATTCTGAATTTCAGGGTCGTTATCACATTCTTCGTTAATCGCATCTCCGTTATCTTCTGTTAGCTGTTTCAACGACGATGCTTTAATGTTATCGACGAAGACTTTCATGAACGGTATCAAGTCTTTGAGAACTAGCATTGCAAACAGATTGGTATACGTCAATCCGGCACAGTTGGTGGCATCTTTAATCAAGCCACGTATATCTTCGAGACTTACGCGCTCATCCATTTCGTCGGTGTTGACATATTTCTCAATTATGTTGTGGACATTAAAGTCTTTTATTTCGCCGATATAATCTTTCAGAGCACGGTATTTATCGTTGTATAAAATATTTCGTTTCAAAATATATCCCCATTTTTCTTGAGCTTCGTCATCGTTTATTAGTTCTGCGATTGCTTTTTTGTCCAACGTCGAGGCTGAGGGTAATTCGTTGCGGTTTTTTATAGATGTGCTGCAAACTTTGGAACAAAAGATTAAAAATAAAAAAATTATTTGTGAACTCATTCTACCAAAAAAAAAAAACCGTTGTACTAATTATATAATTTTATCATAATATATTATATGCACGATACAACGATAAACTTGCAATGAGTCAATACTTTCAAAATATATAAATTTTCTTAAGTCTAATACTATTGCTTTTTTGAAGCTGCCATTTGTTAACACGTATGATATTTGCTCACGCGTATGTTATTTACTGTCGTCTGCCTCGCAAATAATGATATTGCGAACACAAATTGTATTAATGTAAAAAAGTACTATTATAAAATTACTCCTTAGCTCTACTTTAGACAAAATACACTTGCAATCGACCAGTCGACATTTCCATTGGTCATCTTGGTTTGTTTTTAAATTTAATTTGTCTAAAAATGAAATATTTGTATTTTGTAGTTTGTAGTTTGTAGTATGTGTTTCGTGAAATAATATAATAGCAACATAATTTATAAATATTCCCAACCGCTCTAGCAGATATTTAAATGAATAAAGCTAGTGGGAGTATAATACAAATGTGATTTCGAATACAATAATATTTATAAAATGTACTCTTGTTACCCTTCACTTTTTATTGATATTTTAGCTTCGATGAGATAGCTGAAACGGTATTGGTTTTTTAATGATGTGTTTTTAATTTTATTTTGTGTGTCTGTGAATGCGATAATTCTTTAATATTATTTCTGACTATTAAAATTAAGTAGACCTGAGAAGTATGGAGCTAAAAGTGTAGTTAAGTAATTTTCCTTAAGATTAACGAAATTTTATAATTTATTTTATGGTTTAAATGCGCTTCTACCGCGAATATACTTTCCAACTATACTATCCATTTACCTAAAAAAGTATTAAACAACTAAATAAATACAATACATAAAAAAGACAAATATTTTTCTAATCGTGGTTGAAACTGTTTATTTCTAATGTAATAAATGTATTGACAATTTTGATTTAACAAATATGGAACAATAATTTTTCTATAATATTATGAGTATTACAAAACAAGCTGTTATTATAATTTCTGATCAACAATATAGTGTTTGAGAAGCAAGTGAATAATATGGAGGACCACTACCGCCGAATTGAAGTTGTCCACCTAAGTATTGGTATCTGATTTCATCAGCGTTTACAGCTTATGTAACACACTGTCTTTTTTCGACTAAACGAGTATTTTGATTTCTTATATCTTCGACTTCAGCGGAATACACATATGACCGTGGGTTTTCGATCATCTTGAACAATCCTAATAACCGACAATAATTGCCAAAACCTCGGTAACTTTCATTAAAGTCGGGGTTTTTACCATCTAAAAAAAAAAAAAAATACAAAAATTAACATATTTGGTTTGTTGGTCAGATTTTACACGTATATGATAATCCATTAAATAAAATGTTTAATTTAATGGATCTATACAAATCATTAAATAAAAAATACTAAAAAAATTCGATACGCATATTTACCTAACGTAGAATTGATTAAATTTTTTACAACTACTAAAGTTAATGTTCTTCTATCTTCTCCCAATTTATCCAGAGTGACGTTTTTATAAGCCGCTTAATAACAAAAAAAAAGAAAACAAAAATAGTGGGCCTTAATAGAGTTGCATTACATTTTAAACAACTTTAATGTTGCCAAATGTAATCTAACCTAACATAACCTGGTACTTTATGGAGACAAAATGTACAACGTTATCCCTCCCTTCCCATCATATATATATATATATATATAATTACCTTCGTTTTCTATTTTAGGTGGATCGATATCTGTAGACAAAATTTAAAATTTTATATAGTTATACAATTGATAAAAATCAAATTTTATACTTTACTATAGCAGCCGTCAAAAATTGAGGAAAATTTGGTTAAATTTAACAATGTAAAATATTATAACGTATAATCGTTTAATTTCTAGTTACCATTTTAACTCAGAATGACTAAGAAATGTCAAATTTAATAATTGCTTGTATAAATAAGTTACATATTATACTTACTTGTCACTTCCTTTATTGCTCTTTGCATGTCTAACTGGAAAATTCCCATCGATTCTGAAATAAATAACAAAAGAAATTTGAATGTTCATATTTTATTATGTTTGAAATCAACATGTAAGTATGTGATTTTTCTAAATAAATATAAATTATAATGATCTGAGCTATAAAACAAAACTAGAAAAAACATAAGCAAATCTTTTGAACAAACATAGTTAAGTAATGAAACGAAGCAATTTTTAAAAAAGCGTACAGGTGGTCCTATTTTCCCTTGACCATTACTATTATTTAACTAACCTGAAAAATATATCTATACAATTTAACGATTTTAATTGTTAGCATCATTTTATATTATATTTTTCTGATTAGTCAATTTTTCTATGTTACAAAATTATTTAGTTAAAGAATTTAATTTTAGAATTAAATTCGGTTTTATGTCTGTAATCTTAAGTGTCATATATTTGGGGTGAAGGGTTTTGTAAATATTTTATAAATTTATTTCAAAAATAAAGTGATAAATATAAAGTGATAACACCAGCATGAAGAAGTATGTTGTCTTCTGATGACCGTCTTTTTATAAGTGCTCACAAGAAACTGTTCTGCTAATCGGTTTGTAAAGGAGGAAGAAGGATGATTCATATGAAATGGATTTTCGTGGCATGCTCAGTGTATGTGCGATATTACAATTAATTATATATTATTGGAGCAAATGTATTATTCTATTAATTAAGTTGATGGTGGTTAGAATTTCAAAAGGTGACTAACCATCTTCAATGTGTCTGACTCAGAAATAATATATAACTTTTATTTTTTTATGAACCTTACAGTGTTACAAATTTATTAACGACTGTTTTTCAGAGTTTTGTCCCAGACACAAAGGAACGTGGATATATTTATTTTGTTAACCGTCGAAGGAGTTTTGGGCTGTTAGGGGAAATGTCCCAATTTCACCAGTGTAGTGCAAATGCCTATACGCCAAGCCGTCTAAGTTAAATAGTTATACAATTTTGTCTTTTTATACTGAATCGATAGTGACTATTTTCTTGATACATTGTTTAAACTATACTTAAAATATTATCCATATACGTGGTAAAGTATTAAACAACTAATAAATACAATATAATATAAGCAACAAATATTTTTCTAATCGTGATTAAAACTGTGTATTTTTTAATTTAATAAATGTGTTGACAATTTTGAAGGTATGAAAAATTATTTTTCTATAATATTAACAGTACTACAAAACAAGCTATTATTATTATATCTGATCAACAATATAGTGTTTGAGAAGCAAGTGAATAATATGGAGGACCACTATCATTGAATTGAAGTTGCCAAAGTTGTCCACCTAAGTATTCGTATCTGATTTCACCGGCGTTTACAGCTTTTATAACACACTGTCTTTTTTCGACTAAACCAGTATTTTGATTTCTTATATCTTCGACTTCAGCGGAATATACATATGACCCTGGGTTTTCAATCGACTTGAACAATCCTAATAACCGACAATAATTGCCAAAACCTGGATAACTTTCATTAAAGTCGAGGTCTTTACCATCTAAAAAAAAAAAAATACAAAAATTAGCATATTTGGTTTGTTTAATATTACTTTTTTTTATTGGCAAGACACAGATTTTACATGTATATGCTAAATCATTAAATAAAATATTACATTTAATGGATCTATACAAATCATTTAATAAAAAATAAAAAAAATTCGATACGCATATTTACCTAACGTAGAATTTATTAATTTTTTTACAGCCACTAAAGTTAATTCTCTTCTATCTTCTCCCAATTTTTCCAGAGTGAGGTTTTCATAAGGCGCTTAATAAAAAATATAAAAATAAATAGTTGCTATTATATTTAAAACAAAAGCAAGTATAAACGGCCTACAATACATCCGAAAACTTTATATATAAGATTGTGATTACCGTATTTGGGTATTCGAGGTTCCTTGATTTCTGTAGACAAAATATAAAATGTCTCATACAATTGATAAAAATCATATTTTATATTTCACTTTGTTATTACAACTATAATAATATAACCTAAGATGAGGAATTTCCACAGGGGTTAAAAAAATGTATTTAAAATTTTTTTTAGAAAATTCTTATTTTGCAAGTTCTAAATATTGTATATTAAATGTAAAAAATATATTACTATAAATTATCAAATTTGATATATTTTGTTTGTATAAATAAAATAAAATAAAATTTACCTGTTATTTCCTTTATCTCATTTTGCAAGAATGCCTGCAAACGTGCCAACTCCTCTAAAATGCAAAATAAAAGAAATTTTAATGTACATTATTTATATTATGATTGAAATGAACATGTAAGTATAATCTCAATATGCGAAGACTCTGTGTAAAGTATAAACGTATAAAAATTGTTATTGAACAAAGAAAGCTTTTAAAAAATGGTCTAAGTAACTTGTTGAGTGCAAATATTATAGAAATAAAAAGTTGTTATGTGCAAATTGTTTACTAAAATTACTGAAACACATACTGATGTACAGCACTCACCACTATGGTCAGTTTGAGCTATTAACAAATTCATTATCGTTAGGCTCTCGATTGGTCTTTCTGAAATTAAAAAAAAATCATTTCATACTTAATAATTATGTGTTATGTTATAACTATGTAGAAATATTTCCATAAAATGTTAAGAAAATGAATACCCGGTGCTGAAAACCACAGAGTTAATAGCTCTGAAATATAAAGTAATATAAAATAAGTAATGGCTAAAATACATTGAAAAACCATATTACAATAAAGAGATGGGGTAAATAGTGATAGTATCAACTTAGTTGGTCAGCAAGATTTTGTTTAAATTTTAGAGTAAAATATAAGATTTATATCACTGATAAATTTGCATAAATTAATTTGTTGCAATTTTATATCATATATAAATAATTTTTTAATATTTTCATATCTACTAGCATACTTTATCATTATTCGTATTTTATTTACTAAATACTTATAATTACCCATGTTTTTCCTTTTTTGCTGCTTGTCAAGAATAACTTTTCTCATTATTTTTGGCAGGTGATCTGAAATAAACAAATTATAATGATTTGAGCTAAAAAAAAAAACTAGAAAAACATAAACAATATTTATAATCATACATAAGTAAGAAATGAAACAGTGCAATATTTAAAAAAGCGCGCTGTTTGTCCTAGTTCCCTTGAACTTTAAAAATTTTAAACTTATCTAAAAAATATATCTATTCAATTTAGCTATTTCAATTTTTAGCAGATATTCAGATAAATATGTTAAAAACTTATTACTGATATATTTAATTGTTCAATATATGTTACCTTCTACCAGCTGTATATGGATGTCTGTAAATAAATTATATAATATTAATAACAAATTGTTATTAAAAATTATTTTATACAAAAAAAAATAATTGCTAACTTGTTTGGATAACCTTCTTAGTATGTTTATCTACAAAAAAAAAAAAAAAAATGAAATGTTAATATTTTTTTAAATTATATTTTTACTTGTAAAATTAAATAATCACCTAATACAGCAACACAAAAGTTTACCATGGCAAATGATGCTATAACATATATAAGTTTCATTTTGATCTGCAATTACCATAATAAACATGATATCATTTTATATTAGACTCTATAACATTTTAAAATTAATTCGGATACATTTCAAAAGGTTTATAAATAATGTACTTACAATCTTGGAAACTGGTCGGTATTACTTTAGTAAGTTAATGTAACGATGGGATCAATATGTAAAATATTAACCTGAACAATTTGTTTTAAAGTGATTTTCTTGAGACGTGTGGATAGACTTTTATAAACAGTGAAACCAAATAATCTTACAGTATATTTCGCAGGGCGCCAATAATAATTTATATACATAATTTTTTTCTAAAATATCATTTCATATTTACACTACACTGACGCAAGTAAGTTCAGACTTCTTTGTACTTAGTTTATTGGTTTAACGTTACACGTGTCTGTTAATGTCTACACTGTACATTTTAACAGTATACCATTGTACATGCTATATTATTGATCAAAATGATATTTAACGTAGCATTGAATATAAGTAAAACAATATAATACAATTATTTTGGATTTTTCTGGATATTATAGTTATTTTCATAAGGCCCATAATTTTTCACTATATATATACATATATATATATAAAATATGTCCTTTTATTTATAATGGAATTCAGATTAGAAGTTCTGGCCAAACATTTGCGCGAATAATATTTAAGACCTACTTATGATATGAGGTCTCTCCTCATAATGATATAAACTAAATGTTTGTATTATATATCTAATTACTTTGATGTTGAACAATTTATATTTTGTTAATTTATTGAAAGGATGTGTTGTGTTTTACATGACCTTAGGCTAGCAGAACTATTATTTTACACAAAAAATCTATATATTTATTATTTAATGTTGATCATTAGCTAAGTGACACAAAATATTAACAAGAATTTATTACTGACTGTTAACCTAAATTCAAACCAGGTTAGTATGTTCAAATCAGTATAGTACTAACCTATCACACTGCACAGTATGAACTAGCACAGCAAAGAAGTACTAAAGTGATTGGGTTGAACTGTTTGGTTTTTTGGACCAATATGGGACGATAAAAATCGAATTTTAAATGCCCAAAGAGTAAAAAACCTTTTAGTTAATCGTTTTTTGAATACATCCTTTCAAAAATTTCCAATTTTCAACAAATATGCATTTTTGAAAATAGTCAAATTGGTTCTAAAATCGTGTGGAATTTTCGCCTTAAGACACAGTACTAAAAAATGCCGTTTAGAAGTATCTAGCGGTTAATATTTGTACATATCGCATACGTGTTCTTTTTTATTTGCGGTTTTTTATTTGCAATAATTTTAACTTGAGCCGTTACATTCTAAAACGTTATACCTAGATTGTGAAACACTCGTGTACACAAAAAACGGTTGTCCTTGATTTCTAAATCCGAGAAAAAAAACGCAAAAAATGTACATATTTTCAACTTGCAATAATTCCTAAAGACCTATAATTGTGGGCTATGATTTTTAACATTGTCAATTGGTTTTGTATTATAGTTAATATACTACACACTTGTGTGTGACAACCGATAAGACGAGACAAAGATAATATAGAAACGCAACGATTCGACGGTTTCATTTTTTTTTATTTTCAAGTTACACCGATGAAGTTCTACAAACTTTATTGCTAAGACTGGAAACTTGAAAACAAGAGCGACGTGGTATTTTTATTGATTGTAAACTTATTGCGATAAAAAAAAAGAAAGAAAGTAAAACAAAAATAGACGTGTCCGAAAGTTGAATGCGTGAACTTATTTGTGAACTTTTTACTTTACACACAGCGTCTGTGTGTTATGTAAAAAAAAAAAAAAATGGTGCCAACGCAACGACTCGAACATTTTTGTGGCAAAGATGTATTTGAGGCAATTGATGTATTTGATGTATCTTAGGTCTGGTGGTGGTTTTTTTTATTTTGGTATTTTCTAGCCAAAGTAATAAAGTTTGAAATGAAAAACATGCTGACTCTTCGGCTTATCCCGTACAGACACAAACGGAATCAGACAGTCGAATCCGTTATCTCCACAAACCTCCACCCGTCGCCGCCATTTTGTCATGATTGAAATGTAAGAAAAAAAGTCTAATATACATTCCTCTTTATTGTCGATTCCTATGACTTAGTGGTCGGTTTAATAGCGTTTTTTCGAAAGTGATTTTATCACTATCAGATTTGGAAATTCCTGTAAATTTGTGACCTCGCTGTCCCACTATACCCCGACCCCACTGTACTGATTTTTAATGTTTAAGAACTCCCAAAGTAATTAGCCAGAACTGGTTATCGACCGGTATATTATTCAGGAAATAATTCTCAGCTTAAATAGTAAATTAAATAGGTACACGAGTTAATGTTTAAGTTTTTAAAAGTTGATAGGCTTATGGAAAATAATAAAAAAAAAGGTCAATGTTTAGTATTTTTATAATATTATAAAATATGATAAGGAAAAATGTTTAAAAAAAAAAAAAAATACTACAAAATTGCAATTATTCTAAAGCGTAATCATTCCATATTTAACCACGACGACATATTCGGTTTGAGTTCAATAACATTTTTTAAATTAATTTTAAAAATACCCATTGCTGCTTCATGTTTCGCTCAATTTGAAAATATTTAAAACGGTCGAGACCATAAAAGATGGTGGACAATTTCAACAAATTAGGGGTTCCGTTTTAGGCCAATACGAATCAATAAGTCATTAATGATAAGACCATTGCATAGGTGTATAAATTATTTTAAGTATTGTTAGAGAGTGAGGATTTTGTATAATTTCGCACATTGGCGCATGTGTTTCAAAAGTTACACCGAATTCAAAAGTAAATAAAGATTTTTATGTACGATTTTCTATGGAAGTATTATTTATCGAATTCTCGCCTAAGCATTAATTCGAAAACACAACTTTTTTACCATAGAAACTTGGGTTGTTCGATGTTCTTTCCCATTTCCAATGTTTTAAGAAATTCATGGCCAACCCGACTTATTGACGATTTTCTAGAATAATAAAAAAAAAAACAATTTACGTGAATTGTTTTTGGTTTTCTTTTGTAATACAATGTTATTTCAAGGTCATTGTAATTCCCCCCCCCCTTCGTTAAGATTAATTTAGGGAGGGGTGGTTTTGCAATATCTTATAGCAACTTGTATGAATAATAAATTTAGACATTTATGTTAATCTATTTTTTGTTTTTTAGTAAAATAGAATTTGATTGAAGTTTATAATATAATTTAAAAGAGCCGTAGTCTTTTAATAAGTTGGATTATTATTATTTTTATTGTGATAGTACATACATAGTCGCGTTTGCATTAGTCGAAGTAATTGTTCAGACTTAAACGCCAAAACAGTTCACTAAACTGCCATAATCTGCTATGCAAGGTTCCACTCTAAACTCAATGGTCATCCGAACCAACTCGTTTACAACCTCCCTACTAGTAAACACAATATTATGATACCGACCGTTGGGACCTAACCTAACCTAACACGGGTCGATGTTACCAACCGACAGTTATTAACGTGTGTTCATTTCTCACATCTGGTACACCATGTTTGTAATTGGTCCAGTATTAAAAAAGTTTCAGTTTATACAGATAAAAAAAAGCCCACATCACAGTAAAACCAATACCTTCGCCGCTCTGCATCGAAGCTAAAAGTATTTCATTTTTTATAATATTGATTGGGGCATAATTAACCAGTCACCCTGTATATATAGGTACACTATTTAATCAGTATAATTGGACAACGGCTTATTTAATTAATAAATAACTTATACTATTGATATGGAGAAAATGAGTTTTAATAAATTGTTATAATGGTTAATGAACATTTTATTTTTCGGGAAAACGTGGTTAATACTTTCAATGGAAGTAAGATGAAATATGATGAACATCATGGATGTTTTGGAAAAATTATAATATTTGAAGTATTTTTCTGTAAGACATTTTTTTACATAGGTTTAATAACTACTATATATTTTTTTACCGTTGGCGTTAACACCTTTTGTCGTCTAACTTTGGATTAATCAAATATACGCAAGACGCATGTGATATGCTACCGTAGTTTGAGTTTTGCATCTTTATGTAACAAAAAAAAAAAGAACACCCGTAGAATATATAAAAACATGCAATAATGTTTTGGTCAAATTAGTTTTCAAGAATAATATACCCTGATCTTTTATTTGTTAAATAAAAATAAAAATTAGAGCCAGTAAATGTTGAAATTTTAATTTCAAATCGATCAGACTCAATACCAAGTAGATACATTTTGTGAATTATAGGGTTGCCACTCAAAAGAATTGGTCCAGTATTAAAAAAGTTACAATGTATACAGACACAAAAAAAAGCTCACATCATTTCAAAAACCAATAGCATCGCTGCCCCACATCGAAGTTATAAAATAGATCACGCGCGTGATTTAAAAGTGACACCGAGTTCAAATGTAAGCGAATATTTAAAAATATGATTTGAAGTGTTGTTTATCGAATTCTCGCCTAAGCGTTTACGCGAAAACACAATTTTTTTAGCACAACTTTCATACCTGTTTGATATACAAACAATATTAAATGAGAAAAAAAACGTTATAAACATTACTACTACGTACTAGATGGCATAATAAGAAAAACGAGTAAACGTTTTCAAAATTTTACCCAAAAACCGTATAGCAATACGGTAACCGTAACCGTATTACAATTGTATGACCAAAGTGTGAGTCTGAGTTTACTGTTTTTCTTATATTTTTCGATAAATATTATTTTGACACCGTACGACTGACAATATTCTTTATCATCAACACGATGACTATGATTGGACTCCTCTTACTTAACATGGATATGTGATTTAATAAAACATATAACCAAAATTTGTATCATTCGTTGTCCTACTTTGATCTACAAAAAAAAAAACTTTAAATCGAATTACAGAATTAAAAAACCAAAATGTAAACGTCCTATTCATAAATACACTACACTGATGTTTTATGTCGTTTGTTAGACCTATCTTCAGACTAATTGTCAGTTCTTAAATCTTAAAAATGCGCCAAAAATATGTCAACCTTTCTCGCGGGGGGGGGGGGGTGTCAAAATTTCGGTTTTTCCATGTGAGATTTTGTTGATAGCACATTTTATATTGAAAATGTTAAGGTTATAGTAAATCGAAAATATTTTCAAAAAAACATAAAATTTCGGCACTTGTGCACACATGAGAATGTCTGAGTACATTTTTTTTCCATCGATAAATATTCATGCATTTTAGGCAGAAAAAAACGTCGACCTAACGACAAAAACAATGTATAAAATTGTCAATGTTTGAATTTCCAATTTTTTTTTTTGTTTTCTTTTGCACATCTCAGTGGTACTTTTTACACGTTGAAAATTCAAAGGTCATAGCAAATCGTCGAAACTTGAAAACATTATCGAATCGGATACACTATTAACATACCATTTGCGCACATAGATATTGTATTATTGTACGACTACTGCCTGTAATAGTCTGTAAAACAAATAGACACCTAACCTTAAGTATGGCTATCGGCGGATATTTACAAGGGAAAAAGCCATTAAAAAGTGGGGGTCGGGACTTAATTTGTACCGAACTGATTGAATAAGATAAAATCACTTTTAAAAAATGTCATTATAATCTAAAAATTATGCTTGGTAAAAAAATTACAAAATCATGCCAATATAAAATAATTAAGTAAATTTTATGTGCCCCATTCTAGAAAATACTTATGGTATACTAAGTAAACACAACTTTTTTTTTTAATAAGTGAAAACTTTACTATAGCTATAATCTGTCTCGAAAGTCTTTTCATATTCTTCTAAACGCCAGTAGTTAGAACCGCGTGTCTTAAAAATATACTGAATTATACTAATTTAAAAAAAACAGTACATATCGATAGTATTTTAAAAAAGTATTTAAACAGACAAAATTGTTATAAAAATAATAAGGACTAAAAGAAAGATAAACGGAAGAAGTTAAGACGAAAACAATTGCTGGTTGATAAAATAATTTTCATAAAAAAGGCATAAAATTGTTAATGTGACATTGCCGCCGATAGTGTATTTTATTTAGTAGAAATATGAAGTAGGTATTGATAAATGCACTATGAGGGCAATACTGTACTTAAAATTAGCCTATAATTATTGCATACAACTAGCACGAATCATGTTTTTGAGGAAATTCAATTTAAAGTTTAAACCTGCTACCAAATGATTAATTTTAATACTTTGCAATTATTTTTGCTACCAGATGCTTGTTGTTTTAATTTTAAGCTACTTAGTTAAATCTCAGCCAGACACCAGAATTTTAGGTGATAGCTATTTATGCCCACTCCACCTTTACCCAAATTACGGTACTAGTTATCATAAAATTTTAATTATAACTTAATGTTATATTAATGTAGCGAGTGAAGATGTTATAGAAAATTGGCAAATCAAATTTAACCAGTATGACGATAATAAGGATAGTTTAATTTCTACGGGGTTTTCAGAAACTATTATTCCAAGTCAATAGGTATCTATACTAAAAATATGTAATATGTAATTATTGTTAAAGTGACACAACAATGTTCTGCGTTCATATCGTCATACAATCAGTTGACATAAATATTTTCTGGAGATGATCAAATTATATTTAAAAATTTTAATAAATTGTAACCGCTAATGACGATTTTTAATATTTTTGCAATTTTCCATAATTTTGAATTTTTTAACTTATTTCCTTTACCTTTTTCATATGTATTAAATTACAATAAAGAGAGCTATTTAATGATTTACTGTTACAACTTTTAGTAAGTTACATAAAAAAAATGTAGGTACTACATTTCACAATTTGCCTATAATATATATTTTGTCCCAAGACATATATATTTGTACTTGTGTATCGTCAGCCGTAGCAGCTGAATCGCAAAAAAAAAAAAAGAAGACTCACATCATAAGTATACTTTAACGACTGTCAACTAAGGCCACCGTTTGTTCGACGGTTTATGACTAATTTCAATATTTTACATAATTATCGTTAGTTTTAATAGTTAGCATAAAAAAATAATCAAAATATCAACTGCTAAAGATTGCTCTGTATTTTCTGCAAAATATTCTTTAATTAAAAAGAAAATGAAGCGTATGAGTATGCATTTAAGTTTAAAAAGTCCAACTTTTTTAGACCCCCAGAAAAAGTACTAAACGTTTTCAGACGTTATTTGGGTACATTCGTTTACTTTGTCTACTTTTTGCTCATCGATAATGAAAACAAAATAATATATCGTTGTAAAACATACACCTTACTATAATGTACAAGTACCTTCAAATTTGCTACTTAAACCTGTAATTCTTGTAGTTTTGTGATTCGATGTGCGTTTAAATATTGCACTGTTCGCATAAATGACATACAGTGCTCGTTTGTGTTAAAAATATTATACAAAGCCAAAAGACTGTACATATTTTTTAGATACCCATGTTAAACTTGCATTAATAACGGTGTACGACAAATAGTCATGGTCATTAGAGTTTCAAGGCCAACATGACTTGCTGACGATTTTTTTAAAGTTATGATAAAACCACCTATGTGAATCATTTTTTGTTATGATATTTCAAGGTCATTGTGATTTTTCCGCCCTTGGGTAACATGACTTGTATAGATCCATTAAATAAAGTATCTTATTTAATGATTTATCATATACGTGTAAAATCTGTGTCTTGCAAATAAAAAAAAGTAATATTAAATAAACCAAATATGTTAATTTTTGTATTTTTTTTTTTTTAGATAGTAAAGACACCGATTTGAACGATAGGTACCGAGGTTTTGGCAATTAATGACGGTTATTAGGACTGTTCAAGTCGATTGAAAACCCAGGGTCATATGTATATTCTGCTGAAGTCGAAAATATAAGAAATCAAAATACTGGTTTAGTCGAAAAAAGACAGTGTGTTATAAAAGCTGTAAACGCCGATGAAATCAGATATGAATACTTAGGTGGACAACTTTGACAACTTCAATTCAATGATAGTGGTCTTTCATATTATTCACTTGCTTCACAAACACTATATTGTTGATCAGAAATTATAATAACAGCTTGTTTTGTAGTACTGTTAATATTATAAAAAAATAATAAAGTGTTGAATAAAAAACCAAAATTACTACTTTAATAAATAGGTTTAAGCAATATAATTAAAATTCCGGTGTAGTTATTGCAAAAGAGCGAAACACTATTTTCAAAAAAACACTACCCAAGTACCTGGTAAGTATTGTCGATTGTTATAACTGAATTACATTACAACATTCATAGTGGAATATTTATAGGATACAAATTTTTATTTAAAAAAAACAACCCTGACTTTAAAAAAACACTTTAAAATTGAGAAACAAAATATATTTTTTCACTTAATTTAAATTGTCTTACTGACTTACCTAAACAAATGTAATTAGATTACAAAAAACCTACAAAAAACTTCAATAATTAAAAATTGGTTAGTACACTTAAATTTGTTTAAATAAATTTAATCCAAAATATAAATAAAACACCATAATTGAATGTTTTTCATAGACAAATAAGGAAATTATTAGAATTATTAGGAATACAGTTGGTAATTCTTGTAATTATTTTGTCACTAAGCAAGCAATGATCAATATGACATAATAAAAATCTAAAATTTAGTGTGAAAATTAGATCTGTTAGCCTAAAGTAATAAAACACCACATATCATTTAAAGAAATAAACAAATTAAGTAAATATATTTTAAAATTTAGTTTATATCATTATCTCTTTTTGTACTATACATTTATCTATAAGTTTGTCTTATATATTATTGGTCAACAGTGTGTGTTTTTTTCATACTAGAACTTCTAAACTAGCATCGGATAACAGTAAGTATTAATGTTTGTTGCACTTCATCAGTATAACTTAAAAGTAAACCACCCCAAAAAAAAAAAAAAATGTAAAAGCTAGCACAGTGAAGAAGGGTTGGAGTGGTGAAAATGCACAATTGGATGAAGGAGGGAATAGGGGGATCATAGGTCTATAGGAATTATAAAATATATTTTGTTTTCTTGATTTTGAAAGTCAGGGTAGTTTTTTTTTAAATTAAAATTGTTATCATATAAATATTCTACAATGAATGTTGCAATGTTGCAATTCAGTTAAAACAATCGACAATACATAACAGGTAGGTATATTTAGGTAGTGTTTTTTTTAAATAAGTATTTCGCTGTTTTGCAATAAATACACCAGATTTTTAATTATATTGTAAATACATATTTTTTAAAGTGATAATTTTGTGTTTTTATTCAACACATTTTTTCTTCGGATGAAATGGTTATTTGTTTGTAAAACGACGTCAATGTGACAATATATAGCAAAAAATCGAAAATGATTAAAACAAGGTTATTATTTTTATTTTTAAATAGATTTTATCAACGTAAGTCGAATTATTAGAATGTATTATTCTATTAATTAAGTTGATGGTGGTTAAAATTTCAAATGCTGACTCAAAATCTCCAATGTGACCGACTCAGAAATAATATTTAACTTTTATTTTTTTGTGAACTTTACAATCAATATTTTTGATCAACTTCGTTTTTCAAAAAGAAAACACAAAGGAACGTGGATATATTTATATTTTTAACCGTAGGAGGAGTTTTGGGCTGTTGGGGGAAATGTCCCAATTTCAACAGTGTAGTGCAAATCCCTATACGCCAAGTTGTCTAAGTTAAATAGTTATACAATTTTGTCTTTTTATACTGAATCGATAGTGACTATTTTCTTGATACATTGTTTAACTATACTTAAAATATTATCCTATACGTGGTAAGTTGAATAATTTACAATTTTGTCTTGTTATACTCAATCGATAGCGACAAGTTTCTTGGCACGTTGCTTTTACTATACTTAAAACAATATCCATATACGCAATGAAGTATTAAATAACAAAATTAATACAATATCATATAAGCTACAAACATTTTTCATATCATGATTAAAACTGTGTATTTTTTAATTTAATAAATGTATTGACAACTTTGATTTTAGAAGTTATGGAAAAATGATTTTCCTATGATATTAATATTACTACAAAACAAGGTGTTATTATAATTTCTGATCAACACTATTGTACTTGAGAAGAAAGTGAATAAAATGGAGAACCAACACCTTCGAAGTTAAGTTGCCAAAGAATCCCATTCACGTATTCATATCTGATAACAGGGGCTTTATCAGATCTTATGATACAAGTTTTTTTTTCGACTTCGCCAGATAATGGATATCTCGTTTCTTCGACTTTAGCAGAAAATACACATGAATCTGGGTTTTCAATCATCTTGAACATTGCTAATAAGGAGCACAAATTGCGAAAACCTGGGAAACTCTTATTAAAGTCGGGGTCTTTACCATCTAAAAAAAAAAAAAAATACAAAAATTAACATATTTGGTTTGTTAAATATTACTTTTTTTTATTTGCAAGACACAGATTTTACACGTATATGATAAATCATTAAAAAAAAATGTTTAATTTAATAGAAGTTTCACCTAATTCAATAAAATTTTGTAGTTAATTGTGTATTGAAGAAAATAGTTTATGGTGATGGCTACATAATGTAAATATACCAACTTTCATTTTAGCTAAAACATATTAGGTTAGGTCAGGGATAAATTTAATTAAATTGATCTGACATTAAAACCAAAATATTTTATTGACAGTGAAAGAACTATAACTAAATTAAAGGATTGTATGTAACCTTATTGTTACTAATAAGCGTTTTTTAGAAAAAGTCTAGTTCAATATCTATGTTGTTTGATGTTCTATAGTTCTATTGTAACAAAAACTAAATCGTGTGTTACTGTGGTAAGAATGAATGTGTGTAAAAAAAATGTTTACATATACAATGGTAAAAAAATTCAATATGATATATACCTAACGTAGAATTGATTAAATTTTTTACAGCTTCTAGAGTTAATTTTCTTCTATCTTCTCCCAATTTTTCCAGAGTGACGTTTTCATAAGCCGCTTAATAAAAAATAAATAGTTGTTCTTATTTGAGTTACGTTAGGTAAATTTTAATGTTGCCAATGTTATACAACGTGCCATTAGTATCATAAAAGGTACTTTGTGGAGACAAAACGTTAACCCTCCCTTCCTTCAAAAACATCCAAAAACTTAATATATATATTGTGATTACCTTCGTTTTCTATCGTAGGTGGATCGATATCTGATATAAACAAAATATCAAATATTAATTACAATTGATAACAGTCAAATTTTATATTACTATAGTAGTATAAAAGTAATACATTATAGTAGTCATCTAATGTTGGTGAATACTTGGTCAAATTAAACAATGTAAAATATAATATCTTTTAACACCTAGTTACCATTTTAACTCAGAATGACTAAAAAATGTAACATTTAATAATTGCTTGTACAAATAAGTTATATATTATACTTACTTGTTACTTCCTTTATTGCTTTTTGCATGTCATACTGTATAATTGCCATCAAGTCTAAAATAAAAAACAAATTATTTATCATGTGTAGAAAACTGTGTAAAGTATATATATATATATATATATATACTGGTATACTTCAGTATGATTTTCAGTAATTATAGTAAACAATTTGCTCATTACAACTACTTATTTCTATAAAATTATATATAAATATATACAAAAAGTGTTATAGAACAAAGAAATCACTAATCTCTTATGTCTAAATGAAGATGTATCTTGTTGAGCGCTAATTTTATAGAAATAAGTAGTTGTAATGAGCAAATTGTTTACTATAATTACTGAAAATAATAATAAAAATACTGAAGTATACCACTCACTATGTCCAGTGGAAGAAGAGGCAAGACTCCCTACTAGGCTTTTGATTGAGTTTTCTGAAATTTAAACATGAAATCATTTCATACTTAGTTAATACGTAGGTATAATGTAACTATGTGGAAATACTTCCATAAAATGTTTAGAAAACGAATACCCGGTGTTGAACACATCAATGACAAAATCGCTGAAATTAACATAATATTAATTAAATAATATTTAATAATCTATTCCGTTTAGTTTTTATAAGGATTATAAGATTTATAAAAAATAAATTGTTGCAATTTTTATCATACATACATTTAGTACATCTTTTTACATATTTTATTTACTAAATACTTATAATTACTCAGTGGAATATTTTTAAGAGAAACATTTCTCATCACTTCAGGCAATTGAGCTGAAATAAACGATTTATAAAGGTTTGATCAATAAAACTAATCTATAAAAAACATAAGCAATTCCTTTGATCAAACATAATTAAGAAATTTAACAATGCAATATTTTAAAAATCGGGCTGGTTGTCCTATTTTCCCTTCACCATTTATATTTTTTAACTAACCTGAAAAATATACCTATGAAGTATAGTATAAAAATAAATGTTTTAATTTATATGAATTAATTACTTGATATCAGATAAACATATTGTTCAAAACTTTTTATTAGTATTTTCATTTTCAATATATGTTACCTTTTGTCAGATCCATATGTAGGTCTGTAATTAAATTATGTACATACAACTTTAAAAAATGTTTTTATAAGAAAAAAAACATGTTAACTAACTTGTTATGATAGCCTCTTTAGTCAAATTATCTACAAAAAAATGAAAAATATTTTTATTTTATTTTTTATAGGTTTTTACTTTTTCATTTAGGTACTTGTAAAAATTCAATAATCACCTAATTCAGCAACACAAAAGTTTACCAGGGCAAATGATGTTATAACATATATAAGTTTCATTTTGATCTGCAATTACCATAATAAACATGATATCATTTTATATTAGACTCTATAACATTTTAAAATTAATTCGGATACATTTCAAAAGGTTTATAAATAATGTACTTACAATCTTGGAAACTGGTCGGTATTACTTTAGTAAGTTAATGTAACGATGGGATCAATATGTAAAATATTAACCTGAACAATTTGTTTTAAAGTGATTTTCTTGAGACGTGTGGATAGACTTTTATAAACAGTGAAACCAAATAATCTTACAGTTTATTTCGCAGGGCGCCAATAATAATTTATATACATAATTTTTTTCTAAAATATCATTTCATATTTACACTACACTGACGCAAGTAAGTTCAGACTTCTTTGTACTTAGTTTATTGGTTTAACGTTACACGTGTCTGTTAATGTCTACACTGTACATTTTAACAGTATACCATTGTACATGCTATATTATTGATCAAATTGATATTTAACGTAGCATTGAATATAAGTAAAACAATATAATACAATTATTTTGGATTTTTCTGGATATTATAGTTATTTTCATAAGGCCCATAATTTTTCACTATATATATATATATATATATACACATATATAAAATATGTCCTTTTATTTATAATGGAATTCAGATTAGAAGTTCTGGCCAAACATTTGCGCGAATAATATTTAAGACCTACTTATGATATGAGGTCTCATAATGATATAAACTAAATGTTTGTATTATATATCTAATTACTTTGAGGTTGAACAATTTATATTTTGTTAATTTATTGAAAGGATGTGTTGTGTTTTACATGACCTTAGGCTAGCAGAACTATTATTTTACACAAAAAATCTATATATTTATTATGTAATGTTGATCATTAGCTTAGTGACACAAAATATCAACAAGAATTTATTACTGACTATTAACCTAAATTCAAACCAGGTTAGTATGCTCAAATCAGTACAGTCATAACCTATCACACTGCACAGTATGAACTAGCACAGCAAAGAAGTACTAAAGTGATTGGGTTGAACTGTTTGGTTTTTGGACCAATATGGGACGATAAAAATCGAATTTTAAATGCCCAAAGAGTAAAAAACCTTTTAGTTAATCGTTTTTTGAATACATCCTTTCAAAAATTTCCAATTTTCAACAAATATGCATTTTTGAAAATAGTCAAATTGGTTCTAAAATCGTGTGGAATTTTCGCCTTAAGACACAGTACTAAAAAATGCCGTTTAGAAGTATCTAGCGGTTAATATTTGTACATATCGCATACTTGTTCTTTTATTATTTGCAGGTTTTTTTATTTGCAATAATTTTAACTTGAGCCGTTACATTCTAAAACGTTATACCTAGATTGTGAAACACTCGTGTACACAAAAAACGATTGTCCTTGATTTCTAAATCCGAGAAAAAAAACGCAAAAAATGTACATATTTTCAACTTGCAATAATTCCTAAAGACCTATAATTGTTGGCTATGATTTTTAACATTGTCAATTGGTTTTATATTATGTTAATATACTAAACACTTGTGTGTGACAACCGATAAGACGAGACAAAGATAATATAGAAACGCAACGATTCGACGGTTTCATTTTTTTTTATTTTCAAGTTACACCGATGAAGTTCTACAAACTTTATTGCTAAGACTGGAAACTTGAAAACAAGAGCGACGTGGTATTTTTATTGATTTTAAACTTATTGCGATAAAAAAAAAGAAAGAAAGTAAAACAAAAATAGACGTGTCCAAAGTTGAATGCGTGAACTTGTTTGTGAACTTTTTACTTTTCACACAGCGTATGTGTGTTATGTAAAAAAAAAAAAAATGGTACCAACGCAATGACTCGAAATTTTTCGTGGCAATTGATTCAGTCTGGCGGTGGTTTTTTTTATTTTGGTATTTTCTAGCCAAAGTAATATAGTTTGAAATGAAAAACATGCTGACTCTTCGGCTTATCCCGTACAGACACAAACGGAATCAGACAGTCAAATCCGCTATCTCCACAAACCTCCACCCGTCGCCGCCATTTTGTCATGATGGAAATGTAAGAAAAAAAGTCTTATATACATTCCTCTTTATTGTCGATTCATATGACTTTGTGGTCGGTTGAAAAGTGTGCTCGTTAGTGCATCAGATAGTAAGAAATAAGAATAAGTACTCTCAGTCTGAGGCTGGCATTGGACAACATAAGTTTTCATCAATGGAAACTGACTTTCAATGGTGTTTAATGTGCGTTTCTTCTGTTAACACAAGCACAACATTCGTGTACTAATGATTTATCATCCTTAGAAATTTTATATCGAATAAAGTTTGTAGTTTTCTCAGAACTCATCGAGTCGGGTGATAGCAAAGCAGTTTTCATGACGTTATTTCGTTTAACGTGAATGTACTTACTGCGAAACTAAATATTTCAAATAGTCAAGCACATCTCTAGGCAACCGAAGCCCAAGGGTCTTTGGGCGTTTGATGTTAGCCGACAGACGGAGAGAAAATGTAAAAAAAAGTATAAATTGCATATGCATTGTTGCATTCTTTTTTTTTTTTAGGTCGATGCAGCACGGTTAGGGTTACAATGCAAACTCTGTTCCATTTATAAGAACCGTTGAATTTTGTTTTTTGTTAGTTTGCTCAACTTAACGTTAAGATTTAGTGATAAATTACTTGTACAACGCGCCTTGACAAATGCCAATCTGAGGCCCCTTAAGGAAATTTCGAATAATGTCAAAACTCTGTGATGGTCAGATCAGGTCAGGTTAGGTTAAACACACATGATATTTTATTGCCTATACAATTGTTTGTATTGAATACAGTTTGTACCATCCACAATTTTGCATTGAAGTGTTTATTAACACTTATTTATAATAATACAGCAATGGCAACTATTAACTATTAACCAACATACACTGTAGCTCGCTCGGCTGACTCGCAAAGATATCAGTGTAGCCACACTAAATATTAGTATAAATTATCGTGCAGATATTTAACAATATTATTGTACAGACCTTGTCGATCAAACCTTTTGATCTAATGATAACCGACTATAAATCATCACAGAAATTAGATAATTTCGTATCTATTTATCTAATCTGTGCAATTGTTATCCAATTTTACGCTCGGACCTGCGGTCACACTGATTCCGTTTCGAATCATGCGGCGCCACGGTTTTTGTTTAAAAGCTATCTGCTGTTTTCATACATAATATAGTCTGTGGTAATTATCTGTGCGACGAGAGAGAGCTTAAAACTTTCCTACAAAAAAAGAAAAACAACACTAGAAGGTATTAAAAAAAAAAAAATTAGTTTCTACCAAAGACCTCGGCACGAGCAATGATGCATGGCGTGATGGCGTCATAGTGTATACTTAAGGGCCGTGCAGGGGGGGTGCAGTGTTTGCTGTCTGGCACCTGTTGGGTCACAGTATCGATCGGCTAACCTGACATCCGGTCCCCCGGCCGCCGCGTCACACCGGAACTAAAATCCACTGATGTACTTGCCGACAGAAAGCTTATCCAAAATTGTATGGGTTTACCGCGAGGGGTAGGGGTTTTCGAGGGGGGGGGGCTGATGACTACCGTGCAACGGGTATAGCGTGGAAAGAGGATATAAAACCATAAAAACAAAAAAAATTACACCCTCGCCAAGTCGGGCGATCCTTTAAAAATTGTCTTTAAATTATTAAGCGGTTAATTAGCAAAAAAAGTAGGAGAAATGTAGGGGTAAAATGTGTCTTAAGATACTAAGTTCTGAAACTCTTCGTTGCACTTGTCCATGCCAAGGCGATTACGATATAAGTCCCTAAATAACAAATTCCGTTCATCGGTTGACTAAAGAAAACTTTTAAGTACATATTTTCTATCCTCTTGACGAGCTCTTTCTAATCAGCTTAAATTTAGATTGTCTGTCTTATAGTTTAATAAATAATTGAAAATTAAGCGTTGCAGAATTTTTAAAATTGAAATCATTATAGCCGACCTACCTGTAAATTATCTGATATTAAAGCTAAGACTTATATCAACTATCTCCTTACTATTAGTGAGTAGGACTTTTTTTTTTCATATTCACAACAAGCTCTTAGAGTTATCAACATGAAATTGTTTTCGTTTCAATTACCATATACTTGCTTGATTTGTTAAGTACATGTCATCCCGTTTGAAGAAAACAATGTTAATATTATTTGCTTCAAGTATAAGGGATGAAAAAAAACATTTTCTTAATATTAAAAATATAGTAAAACATGTAAAACTTTAAAAAAAATTCCAAAATTAATTCATATTTTCCATCTGTAATATAATAAAATCACTTTGACTCTTCGATGAGAATCTGTATTTGTATAATTACAAATATCGACAAAAGCATTGTACCAAATTACAATAATAGGCATGAAAATTAATTTTTCTTTTTAGGGAGAACTCGAAAAAGGTTGATCGTCTGTCTATAATAATTTAATGCTATAGTTACCCGTACAACGTAATTAACAATATATTAATGGACATATTTTCAAATACTTGTTGACACAAAGCAACCTATAAATTTACTACAACCAAAGTGTAATTTTCCCTTTTTTTTTGGGGAGGTTTTTCCTTAATATAAAAAAAAAGTTCTAGTTATCGTCCCATTTTTTTAACTTTGTTGAAACATTTTTTTTGATGTCAAATTTTTATAAAAATAAAGTTTTATCAGTTTTAAAAAAAATTTCATTTTCATGTTTCAACCGATTTCAAAATATTATCTAATATGGCTGCGACATTAAAGAACAACGCCGGTTTGCGCATAACAAGATTCTGGCTGCCCTCAAACGTTATAAATATTTATTTGATTTTATTATAAACGTTTTCCTTCTAGAAAAAAAAATTTAATAATTTTGCCGGTCGGTATCGATTTTTTGTTTGTTTTATTCCTTTTGTTGTTGTTATTCCTTTTTGGATTTTGTTATTATTGATGTTGTATAATATAGTTATTTTTATTATGATTGTTCTGTGTATGTTATTATGAACCTCGATGTCTGAACCCGCTGGGGTTCAAAGTTAAACAAACAAATGTGTTTTATTTGTAAGAACGATAACAAGAAATATCTTGTTATCTTTCTTGTTATGCTAAATATAGCATGTATGTTAATATGTTTTATACTAACCGTTATTTATATTACAAAAAATATAAACATCTTTATAGCTACCAAAAATCTCATAGCAAACACTGTATTCGTTATAAGTTGTACCCTAAAAAATCAGTAAGTATAATAATGTAATACCCTAATATTGTAAATAGAAACACCTATAACAGATTCTCCTTCAGCACATACTAAGTATACCGAGCCGTTGAAAGTAGAAGCAAACAACTATGCCAATCGCTTTGCGACATATTATGCAGACATATGTACATAACAATTCAAAAAAGATAGATTCTAATTTAATAAACATTTTAACATGGATATTTTATTGGGCTAAGTACAAGTAAAATTTCATGTTACCATTTTCACGTTACACTTTCACTTTCAGTTGGTGATAATAGTTTAGATATAGGAGATTAGTGATAAGAGATTAGATATCAGATATTGTAGATAAGAAATAATAAACAAATGATACGAGCTAAGTGATAAGAGATACATGATAAGAGATAACATATCCACGATTGAATGTTTTTCCGCGGAGTGGAGAAAATAACTAGGTTTTGTTCTTCAAAACTAAGCGACAAAACACCAATAACTTTGGGTTAGACAATGGTTTGAACTAAAATATATCGAAACAATAATAATTATTGTTCATATGCAGAAATCTCATCACACCTCGTTTAGTACAATATCAAATTCAGTAACAGACTGTTATGTTGGTGCTATGCTCGGTTTGACGGGGTTATTGAAAACATATTAGGTATATTTCTCTTCGTTTCCAACCGAGAGAAGTATAAATAGCTCGTTAAATTATTCGTTGTTATTCTAGCCTGATTATCATTCATCAACAGCATGGCGGACTGTAATTAATACACTATACTGTTTAATTCCTGTATACGAACCGTAAGATAGATTTTGCAGCGCACGTGTACAAACAAACAACAAGTCTAAGAATCAACCCCCGCAGCGAATTGAACAAACAAATGCGTGTGGGTGTCGTCCATTCTCTCCGAATCAGGATACCGTTTTTCAATAGTTACCATCGTTCTATTGCATCTATTATCGTTGAAGTACCATCATTTTGTATACTAAAGACCTTAAGGCAAATGGAACGAGAGAGAGAGAAAGAGGAGAGGGTTAAAGTAGCAAGGAGAAGAAATGATTACAGACCTATAATAAAGCTGAGGAGATAAAGGTTTATAAGGATTTCGGACTATCAAAATTATAGTTTTCATTCTCTTTTTTTTTAAGAATATTTCTCATATTATGTATCACATAACTAAGCAGAATGTATTAAATAGTGTATGATAACATCCCAAATAACATATATTATTTTAAACTATAAACAATGTAAAGTACACTCAATATTATATATTGTTTGTACTAAATAAATAACATTAACAGATAAATAGACATTTAAAGACACGTGTAAACAAAAGTCAAAACTATTTTTTTTTTAAATCTCATTCACCATTATACTCTGTACAAAAATTGGACTGCTTGGAGTGAGAAGAATATTTAGAAAATATTTCCATAAGGTACCGTCAAAAGGTTTGCCGTTTAATCTGATTTGCGGCAATCGATGGTTCTTTAAACATTCATAAAAAAGGGTTGAAAGTTTCTAAAGTCAACAAAAGAACTATAAAAAACTACTAAACAATAGCCGTTATACTTAAATGTTTAGTCGACATTGTGAAAAAATGATCTGGTCTGGTCTTCGACCTTTCTATAGAAAAATTGTAATCTAATTATTATTATTTCTATGATAAACGACTTAAAGTCCATTTTTTAGTGATTTATTCACATCCAGTAGTTGTTTCGTGCGACGTCTAATAATTATTTACTGTACCTGTATTTCAATATGCGTTGCAATTATCTAGGTTTTTGTTCCTTATTAAAATAAATGGGGTTGCAAACATGGATAATGAATGACAACATTAATCAAGGTACGACTATAGGTAATGGTGAACATTTCCGGCAATAGCCTACTCTGTTTTAATTAAGTTATATTATCTGTTTGATATACTGATTCGTTGCCAATATTACTGAATAGACTATAATTTACAAATGAAAATAATTAACCTATAAGGGTTTTGATACCGATTAATTGAGGCGAGCAAACTTGCTGTGACAATAAACAACAATGAACATTCATACATCATATCCATATGCAATATAACATTAGAGAGATTTGCATTAAGGTACTCAAATAATTGTCAAATTTTGTTATCAAAGTGAACATTGTTGTCTAATTTTTAGTAAAATGATCTCTAGATAAACGATATTAAGGGCTTGTAGTTTTCCTTACTAAAAAATATGACTATTTTTTATTCAAACCACTCTAACGCATATTTAATTTAGCATTGACTAGGCATACCTTTTTAGCTGGGTAACTCAGCGGAATGACTTTGCTGAAAGTCCAGACTAAGCAACAGTATAAACTAGCATAGCTTAGAAAGAATCAAAGGTGAGGTGCAGTGCTTACAAATTAGCTTCAAAGAGTTTATTTGAAAGTGATTTTATCATTTTTATTAATAATCATTCCTGTCGACCTGATCATTTTTTTTATTTCTTTCATATATTTTACATCAATTTAAGAAAATATGTTTTTGAAATAAAGTTTGTCCTTTGATACAATTTTCAAAAACCAAATATTAATGAAATACATGGTTTTATAATAATTTCAAAAAAACCTAGTTAAATGTTTAAATTTTAAAACGATCAAATATTTTTTTGTAAGAAATTCGATTTCAATAAACGCAGTTTAGTTAAACATTTTTTTTTTAATATTTGCATATAATGCATACGTGTCCATTTATTATTTGTAGGTATAGGTTGTATACGACCCTTTTTTTAAATATAATTTTAACTCAAGTCGTTACATTTTATAACATTACAGATTGTGGGACACTTGTGTTCACAAAAAATGATACACTTTGATGTTTTATACTAACATTTTAGTCATAAAACAAATATTAAACTTAACCATCCTCGTATCAGATATTGTCGATCTGTGATTTATTATAGCCTTTAAATTGCAATTTTTTAATAGTGTAAGTAGTGTAATACACTTTGACATAACACAGAAATACAACATAGTGCCTGTATCTGACTTACACTTCTCTACTTGGTTCTTAGTGTTATACTTCATACTAGGTAAACGAAAAAATGATTTTTAAAATCACATTTTTGTTGGCTTGTCTTAACATTTTAGTAACAGCGCCAAATACTCCAGGAGAGGTAAATATAAACGATTACATTTATTTGATAAATATTTTTTTTTAGTAAGTATAAATTCATTTTGCCATTTTTATAACCCCACAAAATGTTTCGCATTCTTAAGGCAGACAATTAAAATAATTGTAATGTAATAATATTTCGAGTAAACTTTACTGGACAGCTTTTTAATAAATATATATTTTTTAATCGATTGTACTTTTCATATTATCATGCGTTTCTATTTCTAGAGTTCTGATGCCAATGAAAATCAACAGGTAAAGTAAACAATTGGCTAACAGGTATTATACTGTATTTATGATTGGAAGTATACTTTAAAACATAATGTTTGTCTTAAAAAGTAAAAAATATATTCAATAATTTGAATTAATACATTTTTTATCGGAAAAATTAAAAAATAATTATTTCTTAAACAAATTTCTAGTATAAAGAGTAGTACAAATGCTTGTTTGAGTAATAAAAGTGCTTAAGTCTAGAAAAATAATTTATATGTTTTTTTAATGATATTTAATTGTAATAATATGATTTTACGGTTTTTTGCACCAAAATGTAGACAACATTAATTAATAATTATTTAGATGATTTTTTCTCAAATAAAATACGACTTTATTTGTACTGTATTTTCAATAATTAATTTGTTTTTTTATTTGTTAACTTTTAAACGACAAAATTGAAATAGGAAAACACAGTCGAATTGGAAGAGTTGTACGACGTGGAAGTTGTATGGTCCTTAAATTCTATGCCGACGTTGGACGAGACAGAAGTTCACTTTAGCAGAAGTGACATTAACCTTCTTACGGAAGACTGCGACCTCGACTTAAACTGTTTGGACCGGAAAAGAGCGTCCGTTAAGAAGTACCAGCAAAAAATGCAAGCGATCCAGTGTGTACACGGATTGTTGGCTTTGAGAGTTTTGGACGAACTGCAAGCAATCTTCGAAAGACCATCATCATCGGACATTGGGGCACAAGAAGACGATCTTCGAAATGCCATTTTGAGACATTTAAATTATCTGAAGAAAATGCTGTGCCTGATAAACATGGCGCAATTGGACGCTTACGCTTGGCAAATTGAAATATTTACCTTTGTGGAGGGTCTTGCGGATGGTGGCGAGACTAGCTTTAGTTTATACGAAACATATTTCACACACAACAAAGAACGCATGCGAGAAAAGCCTTTATCGTTTGTCGGTCAATGTGTCCAAGACAGATATTTACCGTCAACGACAGCAGTCAACAGTCTGGTCAAAGATGTTTACTCGACGATTGGGTCGTTGTACAACGGCTGCGCGTTAGACAGACAAGAAGACCGCTATACACTGGAGAATCTCATGTTGTATCAGCTGTATCCAAAGCAAGATTTCATTTTCGAATGGCCCATGTATCGCCACCGAACTGATATGGAAAACTTCCAACAACAGTGGGGCGAATACAGCATGTGGAATGATCCGCAAAATTGGCGTCTCGTGAGGGCATTGGATCCGATCGGCAGTAACAAGTACAATGTGCTAATTTCGAAATGCATCCAAATAAGGGTCATGTACTTTGTATGGTTGCACTTGCATGTATACGGCGCCTTGAAAAGCCGACCTACTGGTGTAAACAAAGAAATGCTCCAAATGTGGAACGGGCTAGTCGCAAATCTGAAAAAGATCTTGCGGTTGCTTAGGTTCAAGGGAAACGTGTACTGGTCCGCAATACACATTATGATGGACGACTTGAATAACATTAGCCAAGGAAAACTCGCCGCACAGGAGGAGTATACGAGAAAATATTTTTGTCAAGCTGTAGAAGATCTAGGACTCGATGATGCATCCGGCGTTAATCAACAGTTAATAGACTTAAAAGTTCCAGAAGAGCACGATGACGTGTACGAAGAGATCGATGCCAATTCTTACGCGCTAATGATTTTCATTATGAAATTAAAATATTCATTATCACCAATCAACGGCTCGTTTGTTCGTTTCATAGTGTCTGCCGAAGGAAATGAAGCCTTTTGTGTGCATTAAAAGACGATTTAGAAATTGAAAAATAATAAATAATAATAATAATAATAATACTGTAATACAGTTTTCTAATGAACAATAATATTCTTCTTTTCTGTTTACATGTAGTTATCATAATCATTTGTATGCTGCACTATTTTTTTCTTTAATATAAGCACTTAATAAATAACAATAATAATTTTATTTTGCGATTGGCATACGTTTATTTCCATTATAACCTCTTGCAAGCTTTGGCAATTTTGTAATAATTATTTCAAAACTTTGAATTATGGAAATGTTATCTCTTGTTCTATCTCTTATCTCTTATCACTTATCTCCTATTTCTTATCACGTGAAAGTGTAACGCAAAAATGGCGACATGCAATTTCTTGTATACAGCCCAATAACAAAATATATTACAAAACAATCGAAAATACTATTTTCATCATAAGCCAATTTTTATATGCCATTAGAAATAATTGCAATTGAATACGACCCGTTTAAGTGTTCGATAAACAATAGTACACGCTTTAACCGTGAATAAGACAAAATTTGACGAATGGATTGCTCAGTTGACAAGTATTGTCATCGTTTTTGAGGTCTTGACAAGCGTAAACGGTTAATATTATTGGTAAATGAGGGGTTAAGGAAGGGTCTGACGAAAGCAGAAACACAAAAACCGTCGCGTTTTGTTGTGCTAAGGATTTAGCCGTCAGAATTACCAATTGTATTTTCACCTTGGCGACACCGCCTACTTGTCATTTACCTAATGTGATTCTTAACATAATAATCACTATGTACAGCAGTCAATTTTCAAATTAGAAATCACTTAAAAATGCAAAATACAAACAAATAACACGGCGATAATAACAACACGGTGTACCTACCTAATATGTATTGACTTTTTTTAATAGAAAATAAGAACTAAAAAATGTCCCCATTAAATTAGAGAACGGTCATTGTGGCACTTTCTATCACAGTTGGAAATTATGCATGTCATGTTTTTTTTTTTGTGCCTTTATATCATTGACACGTCCTGGCTTAGTAACGAGAAACTGCGATTATCTATACAGGTTCATAAACCCTAAAAATACAGCAAAATTTTTATGTGAATGAACAAAAACGGTTGACAATGTACAAATTAAAAATGTCGTTTTCAATGTAGTTTTAATGGGTATCTTTTAAAAGTCCACAAACAACTTAAAATATATATATATATATATATAAATATATTAAATTTATCTACAAACGCGTACGGATGTAATGTAAATAACGATTGGTCAATAACCCTGTCTGGATAAATATTTATTTATTTTTTTATCAAGACGGGCAAGCAAAATGAGGTCATGTACTGTGTGATTGATGCTGGCTATATTGTGTTATAACCTAACCCAAAACGTTGTTATTCTGACGGTTGTAATAATATTGACACAGCGCGGTGCAGAATGCATTGGAGCAAATGAGTTTTGATTTAATGCCATTAAAGCGTTTGGTGACTACAAGTGCCAGATCTGATTACAGAGAATTCGGATTTCGCGTACAAGTGCCCCTTAACAAACGGCGAATGATTATTTCCAGTTAAATGTGAAGTTGAAATGTATTCGGTCTCCTTTGGTAAAAATGGCAAAATCCGGGCTGATGGTTTTTAACATATTTATATAGTCGGTTATCATTTAAATCTTACCATTGCTAGTCAACCGAGTGAGCTATCTGTTTTCATATAGTCTGTGTGGTCGTTGTATATATCATCTTTTGACGTTTTTTATCGGCCGGTCTTCTTATTTTTGAAATTGTGTTGGCGCTTTTTCTTTTTGTTATTCCTGAGAGTAATCCGGCGGCGAAGGTAAAACAAAGCTTTCGCTTGTAGAGATTAGAATTATGCTGCGGAAAATTTACGGCCTGCGTGTGTACATATTTTTTTCCCCTCTGTCAGACCTCTGTTGCTGTGCTCTTCCTCTGTCCCTGCCCTAGGCTCGACCTAACCGGTAAAACGGGCTTTGAATTTATATTCGGCCGTTTGTTTCGGATGGTACGTGATCGTGGTGCTTGCACAGTGTATCGGCATGACATTTGGTAGGTACCACACACATTCACCTAGTCATTTCCATCCGGCTTGCTATCGTCCCAACAGCAGCATGATATACTTCCAACAAGGTGGTTTCTGGACATTTGAACGCGCCGGATAAGCCAAGACCTCGGGTCGAGGCGTGAAACCGCCAGTTATAAAATATGGTGTATTTTGTACAGTGATATTTCCCAGCAGAAAATTTAGATTATGGACAATATTCTTGCGAAGGTGTTCAGTTTACAATTAGTTTTAATAATTACATATGAGTGTATTGTACGCCGTTGTAGGTTTTTTAGAATTTCTACATAGTACACTTGTCGTACAAACACTGTATTGAGTTTTTAACAGCTATACTAATTATTAAAAATAATAAAATTTCAAAACAGTCACTCATTAAGTGCACCTAAATTAGTGTCCACGGAAAAACATGCCTGACAACCAGATTTTATAGCTGTTGACTTAACTAAGCAAATAAAGTTCTTTAAGCTAAATATTTAGTCATGTTCCCAATAAAATCTGGATAACACTATGTCGACAGTGGACATTGATTTGTGTACATTTAATATTGTACATTAATGATTTATGGCTACTATAATTATAATAATGGTTTGGGCCTTCATTAGGAATTATTTCAACTAAAACTATGTGATGGAATACTAAAAAGTGCTACGGCTGTATCAATGTAACTAGTATTTTAAATGTTTTAAAAAATATATATGCAAAATGTTCGAACGCTATAATTATACACAAATTTTACAAAACTGTATTTATTTTTTGCTATAAACCCTTTGAAAAAAGCGAAACGAAAATGTTACATGCCTTACTTGAATCGTTTATTGGCAACTTTAAAGTTAAATGTACACCTTTTATCGTTAATATATTTTTTTAAAGTTATTTGTCAAATAAATGATTCATTTGGCAGTGTGATGGTTTTTGAATACTATATTATTCGTAGCGCTAAGCTACACATTGAAAATTCAATTAAACTGAGAGTGGACTACAAGAGTTATATTGTTATTACGACCATAGTATTGGACTTTTTTTCGTGCAGGGTAATGTCCATACTTACAAGTGCAAGTACGTACTTTTTTATGGGTTTCCCGGGGAAGACGTGCCGTACCAATAATAATAAAAAGTACATAAGGTAAGTCCAGGCGGCGCATCCGTTATATTATCCATTTTAAATCTGCGCAATTGGTACTGGCCGTAGAGTATAATAAAATATACAGCAAAATGGAATAGTAGCAGTTATACTGACTTCATTATTATCACTTGAAACTTCGAATAGTCGTCAAGGAAATGCATAGAATTCAAATTAAATAGCCAATATATGTTTTGCTTTCATTCAGGTAAAATTGTAGATATTTTATACCTGAATGTTGGTTGGCTCACATTGGTTGGGAACTTAAAACATTTTCCCCGCAACATCCAACATCTCTTTTAAGGTTTTTTAGCCTCCCCTTTGATCTCTGCCAATATCCCGGAAAGGGTTTAAGACGAATAAAAGTGTGATAAAATCACATTTAAATAAACGCTCCGATGCAAATCTGTGGATAGTAGGTTCAAACCCGTAGGTACAGTCCAAATCAAGCACAGTAAGAAAGTAATTGGGAGGTCCACTGTTGGCAGATAAAAATACAAATATCCATAAAAGCAGTGTACCTAATGACAAGTATTGTGTACTTAAAAATACATTTTTAGTACTAGGGGGGATACGATTGGGGTTGATCGTCTTGTCTATAAAAATGTATTGCTATAGTTGCCCATATATGATCGCAAAATAACAAAATAATAAAAATATTTTCATTACCTTTTGACTGTTGATTCGCTCACACACATAGCAACCAGGAAATTGACAACGGTTAAAGTGTAATATTATTCCCCTTTTTTCGGGTTTCCCCATTTTAGATCTACCTTCGGTAAAATTTTCAGATCTCAATCCCTAAATCATTGCTTTTTCTTGCACTTAATACTCTCTAAGAGTTTTGGCCGCCATTACAATCTCCATCCATTTCTCTCGATCCTGGACTAATTCTCACCATTTCTGTACTCTCAATTTATCCCAATTTTCCCAATTTATTAAGGTTTATCTTCTCCCACAACCCCCAGCCATCTTTTCCTGGGCCGCCCTCGAGATCTTTTTCCCATTGATTTCCAATTTAGGGCTGATCTACTTATATTATTATCCTCACTTCTCCGCATCACGAGTCCCAGCCATTGAAAGCTTTGTCCTCTTATGAAGCCAATGACTGCGATGCAATTCCCAATTATTCTTCTTGTAGTTATTTGTTAAATTTTCTTTTCCGAGTTCAAAGTGAAATAAAAAAGACTTTTTTATCCCTCTTAGGGGAAAGGGCCTGTGATGTTTTTTTGGTTTGTCGATGTTCATCGGTTGTGCTACGTTTTAAGGATATTCCAAACAAATTTGCAATTAATTCGACTATTTTTAAAAAGGTTATGCAGAGCCGTAAATTCAATTAGGAAATACAATACCTTCTCAGCTAAAAGCGTTACCCATGGTTCTTTGTCTGGGCCTCGGCGTTACAAAACGCGCAAAAGTATTAACTCGGGGAGGATGGGGGGGGGGGAGACTAAAAAAAAAAAAAAAAGGGTTCTCGATTGGGAAAATATAGAAAAAACTCAACTCAAATATTGTGCACGCTCACCGTGTGTAGAGCAGAGCCTACACAGAGGGTGTTCGCCGTGGCCGGCGGCGCGCTCAGTCGCCGTAGGTAATCGTCGCCGCCGCCGTTGTTGGAAAAACCACCGACCAGTTGCTCTGCGCTTACCGTCGGCCGTCATCGTTGCTCATTGTGGTGTAGTTCCCGCTGGGTTTTCCCCGCCGGTCAAGAAATTCGAGCGCCGTTTGTTCGAGTGTCGATTTGCCGTGATGTGTCTGTCGTCTTAGTGCGTGTGTGCTCGAGTGCTGCTGTTTCGACTACCAAGTCCGAAGTAAGTCGCATGCTTCCATGCTTGCTTTAGCTTAAGTACAGCTCAGCGTTTTCGTTGGTAAGAATTTTTCGGATTTTCGGACGGAGTTTAACCTCGCCTAAACCGTCTCATCAACCTGTGGCGTACTTTAATTTGCAAACCATTAAAAGAAAACTACAGTTTTCGCAAGTTCAACTCTGACAAAGTTATTGGATCCGAAATGTTAGGTATCGGTACGTACTGTATGTTGAAAATAAACAACACTAAAAACGCATTAAGAAGTAATTAATTCTTTAAGAACTCGTGTGACAGTAAAACGGCAGATTTGAATGTTTTGGCATACTTAATAAAACCGACATTGAAAGCAACCTATAAAATATTGAAAACGATTCTGTGAACCCTAATACGCCAATTTTAGAAGTGCTTGATTGATTTCGTTAATTATTTCAACTGCGTTTCAGTTAAATTTTTACCAACCATATTTTGTTTTATAGCGTTAAAGTGTACAGTAAAGTTGTTATACAATTATTTGCACGATTGGCTTTATATTAAAATGTAAGTACTTGAAAATTGCGAACAGCCACAGCTAATATATTACACTAGTCATGATTTTTTTGTGTAATTCATCAAACTTTAAACATTTTTAAGCATACATTTTCTCAATGAAAATAGCGTACAATCTTAACAAGCCAACTACGACCGTTCGATCCACGAGCGAATGATTCACCTGCTGAACATAAGCATAATAATATGATGAGTATATTTATGTTGGTCGTTAAAGGTAATTCACGTGAAAAAAGTTTTAAAAAATTCAAGGAAAACCATTTCCCCGAGGGATCGGCCGGGCGTGTATATACTGAAATCAAATACAATTTGTAGCGTACAGTGGTATTTATGTGTTTGGCCCGTGAAGTCTTGAATAAACAACACTTACGGCAGTTAGGCGGAATTTATCGGATAGACGATAAAGTGGCAACTGTAGATAACGCCAAGATGTGGGTCATTAAATAAAATGAACAACCGCTTGGTTGGCTTTTTGCGATTTTTCAAGTAAACCGAGCTGCGCGTATCGGTTGAACTTAAAATGTTCATAAGACTGAAAAGTCCACAACGGTGTAATTAATGGGATATTTTTACCGGGAAATGTTAAAAAATTCATTTGCCTGCCTACGCCTCAAAACCAATTCCAATTCACTTATTCCGCCCACATTTAAATTATTCCCTTTCACGAAAATGAATTGTGGACTTAAACAGTTTTTTTTTTTTTGGCCAATCACTGTCATCAGTTAACCTCTTTAAACAAAGGTTCCATACGCCATTTTTAATGGTCGTTACCGACCCTCTTACAAGTTAAACCATAATATATTGTATTAAAAACTTCATTATACAGGCACGTACTTAAAAGGTGGGGACGAAAGGGTAAAACTTCTTTCCCTTCTCACCTTAAGGCTGTATCCAAAATGTATTTGTTTACTCTACATTTCATTACTGAGGAAAGTTGCGTATGAGTAGGTTAAAATCAGAACTCATAGAAATGGGAAAATTAGTTGGCAACACTGTGTTGTAGGATTTTTTTATAGCGAATCCAAATCGGTTTGTATGAAAATCAGTCCGGATATTTTACTGAAGTTCACATCAATATCTAACAAGACACAGTGAACGGCACCTGTTGTAAAATTGTATTGTGAAAAGTTATTTCGTGAGCGTCAGGTAATTTAGTTTTTTTTTTATATTCTCGAACGGTTTGCTTAAAGTTTTTTAGAAACAAAGTGTTGTATTAAAATTCGTTAGAACTTTTTTGATATTACACTCAGAAAAGTCTTAAAGAGTACCTCGGTTTAATGCTTTTTTCTTTAGGATTTTTTGACATTTAAAATAAGTAATTTTTATTGTTGTTATTTGTATTCGCTTTAGTTGTATCTACAAAAAGCGAATACAAACAACAACAATTATTTATTGTAAATGTCAAAAAATCTTTATAAGATGCTAACCTTTTATTTTTTTCCCCGTACTTATATTATTGTTCCGTTATTAAGCGCATTATATTTTTTGTTGTCAGGATGAAGCATGTGCTATATAAAAAAAAAAAATTATTAATAGAAATACCTTATGCGACTTAAAATTAAATAGTTTTCTACACCATTAAGTATCATAATTAGAGTCGAGATAACTACAGATATGTAAACTAGATTTTTAAGTGTACATGCCGCCAATAGAGATAATTTTAGTTACCTTTTTCCACCATCTTTGTGGGAATTACAAACGGGTCGCATGAAAATATGTTGATAACAATTATAAGTTGATAACACAGAATCACAGATGTATATATATATTCCACAAAAATGGCGGACATCGGTTTCCATTCTTATCAGTGGACATTTTCATAGACTTTCAGTGATAAGAGTCGATTAAAAAAACTTTAAACGAGAGCGTGTAAAAAACACACACACCGATCGCTGCTCGTTGCAGAATACATTTGGATAGCTGTTATAACGGTTCATTCGGTGTTTTTTATTTAGTACTAAATATAATATAATTAAATCTAAATTCCGCTTCGAGCCCACGGGCTACTACGATTGCGGCGTTAAACAATAATATTTTCATAGTCTTATTACGCTGTATAATAAATGTAATACTCTCAATATACGGATATAGCACGACCGTATAAACGATTCACCGGGGAATGCTCCGGCTCGCTTTAATTCGACCGACGAGATTGGATTGCGTGAAAAACAATCATAACCATAATAATATAACTCGATGAATTCCATGCGAATCGCATACAACAGGCGCACATTACATATTTTTACACTAATAATGTTATTCGTTTAAGGGAATATATATATATATATATATATATATATATTTGTTGTTATTACCGACGTGGTATGTGAACAACCGCCGGAGTACATACCAAACACAATAATATGTGTATTTTTCATAATTTTACATGAAAATTATTTTTGTAAAGTCAGGCTGCCAACTTAGCTTAACTTTGAATGGTCGTCAAGGAAATGCATAAAATTCAAATAGAATCGCCATGATGATATTTTTTCTTTTCATTCGGCTGAAATTGTAAATACTGAATATCTGAATTTTGGTTACTGTGTTTTGAAGTTGTAAAGCTGAGTTCCCTTATAGTTATCTATAACTTATTAGTTATAATATGATCACAATAATCATTATCGTACTATCATATGAAATTCGAATTGATCTGTTGAACTCAATCAGTTGATAAAGATCATACTGTTGCAATGTTTAACAACTTATAAAAAACAGTTGATTTATTTTCAAAGTGGTCACACTGTCCTTCGTCTCCTTGATTACTTCGTTAATACAGGTCATTATACTATGATGTTACAGCTCTATAAAATATATATATTTATAATATATGGTTTACAATATCATAATATAGTATCGTTTTTTAATCGTCCATTTCGACCCACGTGTAACGAATTTTATTTCATATGAACACGACTATATATTGTTAAATAATTGGAAGAATTCCAACAAAACTCTACAGGTGCGCATTTAGAATACTGTACTTCGACTGTACAATTCTGTACACAAATTCGAATGGATATGTGTTAATATTTTAACTATTTTTTCATTTATTATTTATACGCCAAAATACAGGTTTTACTTTGAAAATTTGCGACTGATTTGGTCAAGACACTTGGATATTTATATCATGTTTTCATAAATAAATTATTTAAAAAAAAAAAGAATCTAGTTATTTTCTTCGCTTCACAAAATACATTTAATCCTGGATATGTCAACTATTATCACTTATATCTAATCTCTTATCACTTATCTCTTATCTCTATCACATGAAAGTGAAAGTGTAACTCGAAAATGGCGACATGAAATTTCTTGTATCCAGCACTGTTTGTCCATGTTAAAATGTATAGATTTTAAGTTATACATTACAATTATTATATTTAAGTTATAGTAGACGTTACCATTTTAAATTAAAAAATACAAATACAATTTTAAACCCAAAAATCTACATAACCATCAACTGCTAGCATATAATTTCACTTAGTATAGTTAGAATTCTAGTACAAACAGGTTACTTATTTATTCTCTTAATAATTTTGCAAGTGAATGTTGTTTAAATATTTAGCATAAATATAAACCCTCTGAACCCTCTTAACCTCAGCCCCTCAAGCCCTTTCACCTTTTACGCTTACATAATTGTTGGAGATCAACAAACATCTCCCATTTATTAAATCGGCATGTATTATGTCTGGTAGATTTATGTTTCTCGCCTGCGGTTTCATTATCCACTCATGATGCACAATACATTTATTTGAAACGTGTTTTAGTTATTATAAAATACTATTTATTTAACTCGAGTATACTAAATGCGGTGCTCTTGTGACCCAATATTGGTATTTCATTAAATTATAAAAGGGCTTATTTATTTAGACCATAGCACCGCACCATAAGCAACATTGGTGGAACAGGTGTTTTCGGAAATAAACTATTTTGTATTGTCATGCCAAATAAGCTTTTATGAGAGCTTATTAAGTTTCGGATCTTAAAATATATACTTGCGACTTCCGAAGTAGCTTTATTTTTACGGACTTCAATCATAAAAATATTGATCCTGAAAAATGTTCACTCACAAATTACCAGTCAAAATTGAATCGTTTATTTAGGAAACGTGATAAGTGGATATTTTGTAATTTTTTATGTTAAACGTGTCAACCCCTATAGCGATTCACAAACAAACGAGTGTATTTGAAAAAAAATATATTTAAAGCAATGACCTGTATTTTATTGTTGTTTATTTTTCAGCAATCGATTTGGGAATTTGTTTTTCTGTGTAAGACACGATGAAATAATGTAATAATATTCGCCGCCACCGCAAAACACCGAACGCCTTAACGCATTCATTGGACTCGACACGTCTTATGATGTATATCTGTATGATGTGCCTTGCTTTCTAAGGGTGCACAAAATATGAGGCGTAAATATTTTATTTTCAAGTGGAAACGACGGGAAGCACTTATTTT